AATGTGTCGCTTGCGAAAGCTGTCAGCGCTTCCCGTAGTGTGAAAGCCTGCAATGGGGGACCCCGGCGGAACTGACCCTGTAGGAGAGCCACCCTCAAACCTCACAGGGAACAGCCAACCAGCCCCCTCGATCCTTGCAGAGAACAGCCCCTCAGCCCCACAAAACCTCCCAGGGATCATCCGCTCAAAGCCCTCAACCCTCACAGGGAATCAGCTCCTCAGCCCCCAAAAGACTCACAGGGAATTAGCCTCAAACCTCACAGGATCAGCCCCTCAACTCCCTCAAACCTTTCAGGGGGAACAGCCCCTCAACTCCCTCAAACCTTTCAGGGGGAACAGCCCCTCAACTCCCTCAAACCTTTCAGGGGGAAAAGCCCCTCAGCCCCGTCAAACCTCTCAGGGCACGGTGGTTCTCCTCAAAAAGTCCTCAGAGTCGCAGGGCTGCAGGCATGGGGTGACCGTAGGAGGTTCCTGTTCCATTAAAATATCTTTTCACTGTCTGAAACAGAAACACGGGCTGAATTGTAAAAGGATCAAAACCACCCCTGCCCTTTGCTATTCTCCAGCATGTTTGCTTTTAGTATTCAGCCCARGACTGACACAGAATGGGAGGATTTCCCAAATGGCTTTGTTACAACATTAACCCTGGTAACCTACCCTGGGTCACTCCCGAGCAGCAAATAAGGAGTTTGAAAGAAAACACTGATTTCTAAGGGCAGCTTGTTCCAAGGATTGTTCCTGCGCTGAAACAAAGCCTGTGAAAACACCAGTTGCGAGTCATTCCCTAAGTTACTGTTTCCGCACGGAATGCTCTTGCCACATCAGAGCTGCAGAAAGGTCAAGCCCAAGTTGCTTTCTCGCTGATGTAAGTTCATGCGTAGGTATTTTTATAGCAAACATTCCAAACAAATTTCATATCTGATATGCAAAGCCAGGAATGCTGCTTACAGAGACGCGTGCTTGAAGGCCAAATTTCTCCTCGAGTAACCCAAGTGCGAAAGCACTGCAAATGAAATAAGCTTCGTAAAGCCTCCTTGTATCTTTTCTGAATCGTTTTTTTTATCCAAGACTTGTGGCATATCAAAAAAAAAAAAAGTTAATTTTCAAGCACAAAAATCTGCCACAACGGACTTTTTGTCTCTCTGGAATACAGGCTATAAGGATGATAGGGAAAACTTAAGTGATTTTTAAAAATGTAAATGGGATTGGTGGAAACATTCTTCACCCATCAGCCACTGGTTTTGTACTTGTCTTTTAAAGAGTAAARGTAAATATAAAGGTAGCAGAGGAATAAGAGGATATAAGATCCCTTCATACATAGATCCACCACAGTTTGCAAAATAATTCCATTTTTATCTGTTATGCCAGAACCTCTACCTGTAATTTATAGAAACCCTGCTCTCAGGCAGCAGAGATTATCAGGCAGTATAGGGGGCTTAATGACAGCTAAATCATGAAAAAAAAAGAGAATGCCTGAAATTATAATTACAAATCACAACCTGCCACCAGCCTAAAGTCACAAACAGCTGACTGGGTATTTGGTGTGAAGGAGGAAGCAGAACCCTCTAGTGAGGAGTTTGTTCCTCTACGGGAAGGAAAAGGGTTTGGAGTGATGGTTTATGATAATGATTGGCATTTCACATTAACCAAAAAAAACCAGACCTCTTTCCAAAGAAAATGTATAACCCTTCAAAAAATCCCAGCTAAAGAGGCATTGTCTCATGCCCCAGAGGTGCAGACGGTATCCAAGAACCAGCAGAATTTTGTTTGAAGAGCGCTTCAAAATCATTTACTGGATCCATTGTACACACCATGGCCTGCACCAAATTTAATCACATAGATACTCTGGATTGGAAAGCCAGGCTGGAGGCTCCCCATGGCAGTGTCTTTGTTCAGATTAAATTAAGCATGTTCTCAAAGGCACTGAAGCAGGAACCCAGAGATAAGGCTGYGTGTGCTAACCGTGGATTAGATCTGGCAGTAAGTTTTTAGTGAAGCCTTATTGGGGAGCACAAGATTATAGACGTTGCTGTTATTTAAATGCTGTGTCAAAGGTATATCAAATTAAGATACAGTGAATTTAGACTTGCATTAGATGAATTGAGCTCCTCTCTTGTCACAGAGAATTGCTACATATGCAAATCGAACCGGGCACGTGTCCTTTGGATTGCTGGAATTTATTTAATTATTCGCTAATCAAAAACTAATTCATGAGCACTTAGCAAATATCTTTAAGTGTCTCTGCAGCACTGTCAAGGATCTGAGGCAAAGCAGGTATTTAGTGCTGCACAGGAGCTGCGGGAGCCTCGTGGCACAGCAGCTGGCGGGCACTGGGAGGGCTGCTGCTGTCCAAGGCTGCAGGAACAGGGAAAAATCCACACACTCCAGCTCCAGCTCTGCCTGCAGCAGGCATCTGCAAGGAGAAGGTATTTGGAGTCACAGTAGAAAGGCCTGAACTCAAAAGAGATGAGCTAAAAAGCAGCAGAACTGCTACAGTGACTCAAAAACAGTTCTGAGAAGGGCAGGGTAAGACCTTAGGATTTCCTGATTCAAACTCACTAAAACAGAAGTCCAAAATGAAACTTTAAGATCCTGCTCTGYTCTTGGTTTCTAAGTCTGTGCCTCTTTCCCCAATGCCTCTCTCCCCACTCCGGGATACTGTTAATTTTTAAGGATTGTGCTTGGCACTGGGCAAACACAGGGCAACTTTTACCCCTTCCTGCTTCACAGACAGCTCTGATGGGAGTGCAGCAGAGCACATGCCAAATATTTGGGAAGAGCAGAAAGTGGGAGAGAGATCAAGGTGCAATAACAACATTCAGTCACTGCAGGTCTGCAGTGGTCAGAGCTAAATGGTTTCATATCTAATTTACAGGGAACTGGTGAATGAGAAAAATACCCCGAATCGGTATCTGCCAACCTGATTCTGATGTTATCAGAGGGAGAAGGGAAATACAGAAGGCTTCCTTAAAGAAGAACAGAACTACATATGCAAAGTGAAACTTCTATCACATCCCACACTTTCTAGGAAAAAAAGTGGTTGAGTGGTAGCRGAGAGTGACATTTGGTATGTATTTGGTGACATTTGGGGGGGAAATAAAAGGAACAGAGTCTTACTGGGTCCCTGCTATTGCTGYCATATAAGCTGCACTCCCTCGCTTTTGCCAGCATAAAGTTTGTAGTGTAATACCACAGGGGGAAATTAAAAATTACATTTTTAAAAAAATTTAAAATGAAATTGTAAGTATCCCCCTTGTTGAAGGGACGTGTGAATGAAAGCAGTCTCAGCAGGGCTGCAGTGTGGTGTAGCCAGGGAGCTCTCAGGGTGAGACGATTGGGATTTCCCCCCCCCATTTCCAGTACAAGGGCACTTCTCTTTCCACACCTGCCCTAGAGATCCCCTCTTCCCAGAACTCTCATGACTCTTTGGAGCAGTTGCCCATCTCCACCCCCGCCACAGCTGCCCCTGCCCCAGCAGCCAGGCCCTTGCCTGGCATCATCCCCTGCTGCTTCCCGGCAGCAGCGGACAGCTCATCTCCTCTTTTTTCCTGATGAGTTCCAAGCGGGGCGGGGACACGGCAGAGAACAGCGCGTCCCTCTGTCCCAGAGGGCTGAGCTCTGGTGACAGAACAGCGCGGGGGTGACAGTCACTGCTGCGCACGCAAGAGTGACAGCTCTGCTCTGCACACCCACGCGTGCCAAACGCCAGACCTGTAGAGCAGGTTGTGGCAGACTCGGCAAGGGAGTTTGGACAGCACTRCCCAGGCTCTGGAAAAGACAGCAAGAGAAGCATCCCACAGACCCCATCTGAGCTGTGGGCTACCTCTGCTTAATTCTGCCACCCTTTTATGAGAGAATTGATGAATGTTTTTGCTGAGCCACTTACCCCTGGATGTTTTTGTTCAGGGAGCCCGTGACAGGTTTAAAATCACTCAGAAGTGCTGCTCACATTACTGCTCAATCCATAATTTCAGCTCCTGTTATTAATAGTGGGATCTACACAACCCAGGAAGCGTCACACACGTTCAAAGCTATTTTAAGGTTTGTGGATAAGTGATCCCCCACTTTTTCTGCAGTTGCCTTTGAGAGACAGAGAAGAAAACACCATAAGGCACCCTCCACTCTTGATATTCTCCTAAGTWAGTCTTCCCTGTGCGTGGAAGGATGGCATGATCACACTTGAGGCCCACAAAGAACAGTTACAAATTCTTTTTCTTGGCAGACTTTGCCRATGCTCCTCCAACCCAGGAGTAACAAGGTGCCACAGCTAATGGCAGTGACAAGGTAAGTGTAATCATTGGATGTTTATAAAAATATCACATCCTTCCCAATTTTCTATCAACCTGTTTGATTATGCCATATACAGGGAAAGTGTGACAGAATTAATCAGCCTGCTGGAGTGCACACTAAGGGAACAGATGAGCTTTGGCAAGGCTGTTGTTAGCACTGAAAAACTGTGACAAAAAAGAGGCAGACTGCAATCCAGACGCATGTCATTCAGAAAGTGAGACATGCTATGATTTATCAACGTACCAACAATTGATGGGAACACAGATCTCCCATTTCCAAGTGTTGTCTCTGTGTAGATTAA